TGGGAACCAAATGTGACGTCATAATGACGTCATTTACACCATTTTGACGATTTATAATTAATTTTAATAGATTGCCTACAATTCCATAAAGAATGCTGCAATATCATCTGTTTATTATTGWACTGACTTGAAAATAATATTTTTGTATTTTTTAATTGACCCCTGTTCTATATGACGTCACAATGACGTCATAGATATCAGGTAATTTTTATAAATTATATATCTATATCTAGATAGCCAGTTAAATATCATATTTAGGCGTTTACTGCTCTCCTGTGATGTTGCGATTCGTTTTGCATCCATGGTAACAGTTGTGACGTCATAATTGTGATGTCGTCATTTCCTATAGTGTCTTTGTCGTCTTTGAATAATTTGACTCCAAATCTCACTTTTTTTATGTCTACATCGTTATTTTATGTTGAAATTTACAATTTGAGGAGTTTTTGAGGTTAAACAATTTTGACAAGAATATCCGCCATCTTAGGATCCGCCATCTTGGACCGCCATCTTGAATTCTCTAAAATGCCATTAAAAAACTAAGCATTGAGGCAAACAGCTCAAAATGTCTTAAATACTTCTCAAACTAACATTTAATGAATAAAAAAGTGAGTTTCGAAGTGCTACTGATGATTTTAATGAAAKTTTCTCCCATGTGAAAAAATGATTGAAAACTACACACCTCTCCCCCCCCAAAAGTTTTTGTTGTCGAAAAAGTATTATGGTATTGTAGAGTCAGCAATGGGAGCAAGCTCAAATAGGTGAAAGATGCATAATAAAACAAGAAATAAGACTAAAAATGAAAAATTTAGCATGTTTTACATTTTTGAAAACCTATGTGTCAAAAACTGGTTGCCATGGCGACATGGAAGATAATTCTTTATTCCATATTCCATAAATACCAAAAAAAGCTACATTAGAACATAAAATTTAACTTTAACAAACAAGGTATACTAGCTGACTAAGTAATTGTACAGATTCAGAACATTAAAACAATACTTAGCAGTTATTTTTACTATAGAGTCATCTTTCATTGACAATATGTATAAGAATATTAAGCAATCAAAACCTGTGAAGGTTTTGGAACAGTTATTTATGTTATAAAGGCTTTCCAAGAAAGCTTTTCTTATAATAACCATTTCGTTGTTATTGCATGGCATTAAGTAATGAAATTCGTTACCAGCTGCGTTTAAGTCACAAAGGTGACAAAAACGCTGTTCGTAAGGAATTCCATTATATCTACCTAGATTGAAAGAAACTCTTTCATTTTTTCATTACATATATGAAGTCATGGATAGGCTTAAAATCACATATTTCCAGGACATATTCAATAAAAGCTACTTCTTGTGTTTTCTTTTCTAAACAAAACTTTGCAGCTTTGCCAACTAAAGATTCACTATACTCAGTAGCTTTAATT